AGTCATTTGCATTTGTTTTTACAAATCCTTCAGCCCGTTCCAGTTTCCAAATAGAGAACCCATTATAAGCAATATCTGTGTGATTTCACACGTACACGCAGATATTGAGAACCGCGACAGATTCGTTACATCCACATGTGCACAAAATACAAAGAATTCATTTAAAGCAATCGAGATTTTTCAAAACATAATTACACCAGGTTTTGTAATGTAATGTGATTGTAGATATGGAACATCGAATTTTGACAAAAATGTTAAAGCGGGGAGTCGTCCCCTGCGCATGCGTCAGATGACCATAGTGTATCATTGTTTACAGGTCTCATGCCACTAATTAACCAATTTAAATGCCTTGAAAGAACCAATAAAATTTTTTAAATATTTTTTTTCTCAGGTGCTCCCTGTTTTAGGGCGTAATTACCTGGGTCAAAGGTGGGACCAACATGTGGTCTTTTGTTTACTACTTAGCGGCTGTGTACCTGTGGGTTTATTCTGTGTGTATTTGGATGTTCTAATCTTGTTGTTTTTCCAGTGATTTCTCTAGGTGCAATCTAAATACAGTAGGTGTGTCTTGTTTACCTGAGATTTGTAAGAGTTTGAGCTGGCCAACATATTAGTTTTTTTCATATAGTTGATTACTGACATGTTGATTTCCCATTTTTGAGCCATGATTTCAACTTTCTTCGTCATTTTCATATAGCAATCTCGTCATATGTTAACATTGTCGTCTATGGAAATTCAATTAGTGGTATGAGCCCTACAGCGTCTACCCCTGAGCCTTTGCGTTTTTAGCGTGTGTTGTTATCGTCGCTTGGGACTCAATTTCCGCGCGTGCGCAGGTGACGACCCTCCCACTTTGAAGTCTAATGCCCTTATTATCTGTGACCCACTTCTTTATACGGACTACACTATGACGTTCAGGAATACACTCCATATATATATGCATTCGAATTTTAGCAAAAGAAGAAATAGAGGAACTCAGTTCGAAGTTTGTTTACTTATTTCATTGTAATACATCGAAGGGATTTCTTTTATGCATTGCCAAGAAATCAATAAGCGACGCACCACCACGGAATTCACATTATCTTCACTATTAAGTATTTTAGTAAAATATTCACATCTATCTTAAGGTCATACGCGGGCATTCGCCGTAAAAGTGCATTTTCAGTTCGTGGGCAGATGCCAGGGTTAAGGCTTGACAACGTTTTCACTGTCTATGATGCTGAAATATTTGTCAAAAACAAAGGGAGAGAGAGAACTGTTATTCTGTCTTTGTGGATTTCATTAGGTGCCAAAATTCCAAACTATCGAAATTTTATTACATCTTGTAATTCACCTGCTAATCTCCGACCATGCACAGGATTTAACATTTTTCTCAGCCAATGTATTGAAACCTATTTTTTGATTTGATTATCAGGGGATAGCGCGTACGCAGTCCCCCACTAACATAAATTATGCGCCCGAGTCACCCGCATTTGGGGTGATCGCAGGTGTCAGCCCAGCCGGAGTGCAATGGGAGGGCCTCTCCCTGAGGGAACCGCCTCCTTGATCACGGTTAACCCCTACGCCAGGTAAGTATGCTAGCACAACAGTCATAATAGAGCCCTATATTTATTGAAGCCAAAAACACAGTACGGTGAGTGGCTTGGATGTACACAACGAGTCTTAATTTGTTGGCATATGCAAGTGGAAATCCCGTTATATACAAATATGTTCATAAATTCAAACAAATATAATGTTATAAATGTCTTAATAATTATAAACTTAACGTATTATTTAATGATTTGATAACAAATTGAGGCAATCTGATTTGCTTTGGATTCTGGGTAAACTCAATACGTGAATATAAAACAGGCACTAATGGCTGCCGCTGCTACAATGACACTTTATGACCGGGCTTTGTTTAGGTGTCAGTGAGGGGTGATCCGACAAGACAATACTTTTAATTACGTGTAAAATTGTTTTTAGAAAAGTAATTAACGATTAACAACGATATCGATGTTTTGAAGAAAATGTTGATGTAAAGATTCAGGAAATACACAGATTGGTCACTTCAGCTTGATTCCGGGATATTTTACTGTATCCAGATAATGTTACAAGATACTGTGGACGTTTGACTTCGAGTATAATCGGTCACGGCGTGATTTTCTTTTATTTTGTTCTCCTGGTAGACACTTTTACCGAAATAGTTATTTCGCGGTAACCCGGTTTTCGCCATTTATAAACTCACATAATTTATTTTATTGAAAGAAAACAACACCACAAAATGGACAAGGGCGACAAAACTATAATATTCATCAAAATAAAATACAATTTGTAAAAGTTATGATTTGAAAGAGGGTGGGCTTGTTTTTTTTTTATATAAATATACAATACTGTAAAATACTCTATTTTTGCTTCGAATTAAGTTTCGCTATTTTTGCCGAAGGAGCCTGAGTGATTCGTTGAAAATAAAATCCAACGAATATACCCTTTTCCCTATATTTTACATTCAACTAGCCAAAAATCAATGGAAATAAATTCAATACGAAACATCCAAAAAAACAAATTGTCAGCGAAAATTAATTCCAGCTAAAATAAAGTATTTTACAGTACTAGTACTTGATTTTACAATGTTACATTACACAGTGCCAATGATAAATCAAAATACGCACTCTAAATGCATTAATTATTCACTGGGTTTTAATTTCGTGGAGACGTAAAATCCGTTAAATTGAATTCACATAAACATGTATAGAGCTCATTGTTTCACTGCTAAAACCCAACAAATATGCTCAAAATAGTGAAATGCAGTGAAAATAAAAGGTTTTACAGTATCTAATTTGAATTCAACCTTGAAGTTGTAATGGCAAAACGTTTAGTTGCGAGGACTTATGGGACACCCTCAGCTAGTCGAATTGTGTGGGGTCCCGGGCGTATACACATCTCGTCTCCGTATACTAAATTCAATCGCGCGGGAGGGGGGGGGGATATTGCAACCATGAAAGAGGATACATGTTTCTATGATAATGACTTATTGGGTGCGACTCGGACGTGGTCGACATGGAAACTAGAGGTAAATATCATAAATAGGGGTGGGTGGGGTGGGGTGGGGTGAGGGATTCAAAACACATATTTCCACATGTATGTGTACGAGTGCACTTCTGT